GTACTTTATCTCATGTATTTACTTCAAGCATTAATTCTCCTTCGCATATTATTGTTGGTAATGGTTCTAAAGTGAGCACTACGGGTTTTGGTACGGGCATCCTTCCCACATCCCCTCCCCTCTCCCTAAACAATGTTTTAATCTCCCCACATATCATCCATAATCTCATCTCCGTTCGTCAATTTGCTCGTGACAATAATTGTACCGTTGAATTTGACTCTTATGGTTTCTCTGTAAAGGACAAATTGACGGGAGCCGTGATTCATCGATCCAATAGTGACGGACCTCTCTACCCCATCTCCCAGGAGCCCTCCAACGCACACCTCAACATGGCCCAAGTCGATCTTTCCACCTGGCACCGACGGCTTGGCCACCCCAGCCCCGCTGTTCTCCATGGCGTGTCTTCTTCTTTAGCTAGTTTTCCTAAATCAAAATTAAATTTTTTATGTCATGCATGTCAATTAGGCAAACATGTACGCCTTCCCTTTCAGTCTTCTAGTTGTGTTTCAACTTTTCCATTTCAATTAATGCACACTGATTTATGGCAATCCCCTGTTCCTAGTGTAACTGGCTTTAAATTTTATATGTTTTTATTAGATGATTTTTCTCATTATTTATGGATTTTCCCTCTCCATCACAAATCTGATGCTTACTCTCACATTATAAAATTCCATGCTCTAGTTAAAAATCAATTTAATACAACAATAAAATATGTTCAATGTGACAATGGCACTGAATATAGAAATAACCCTCTTGCCACATTCTTTGAATCTCTAGGAATTCTTTTTCGCTTCTCCTGCCCCTACACAAGCCAACAGAACGGGCGCGCAGAGCACACAATCCGCACTATCAACAATACTGTCCGCACCCTTCTCTTTCAAGCCAACCTTCCTCCTCACTTCTGGGTAGAAGCCCTACACATGGCCACTCACCTCTTTAATATTCTTCCCACCACCACCCTCCACAATCGTACCCCCCATGAATTTCTCTACCGCACCCCCCATCCTATTCACACCTTCGCGTCTTCGGCTGTCTCTGTTACCCTAACCTTTCTGCTACTGCTCCCCACAAACTAGCCCCACGTTCTGCACGGTGTATCTTTCTTGGCTATCTAGAGGCCTAGCGTGGCTTTCGCTGCCTAGACCTAACCACCCACAAGATCATAATCTCCCGCCACGTCACCTTCGATGAGTCTTCTTTTCCTTATGCCCCTCAATCCTCCCCTTCCGCA